AGGTAGGTTATGTGATGGCAACAAATTTTGCATATCGAGTTTTCGGTGGGAACGTACTTCTCCATAGTAGGGAAGTGTAAATAAACTATTTTTAGCAACCTGTCGGTCTGTCGGTCTGTCGGTCTGTCGGTCTGTCGGTCTGTGTGTGCACGCGTGTATCTCAAGTTCGGCTGAACCGATTTTGATGAAATTTTATATGTAAGTTTGTTTCCACCATGGCACGGATCGATCAACTTTTGGTACATATCAGGCCTCGGGAACTGCACTTTTTAGCGGGCCTGTTTTACATTTTTGAACATTTTGAAGAAAATATTCAACCGATTTACTTGAAATTTTATATATAAGCTCAGCTCGACCGTCCGCAAAAATTCGTGTGTTTTGGAAGAAATCAGGCATCGGCAACTAGACGTTTACTACGGGCCAAATATACATTTTTGTGTATATAAAGAGAAATAATCAACCGATTTCATTGAAATTTAATATATGAACTCCTCGTATTAAAACAATGAACATATAAATTTTTTGGAAAGATCAGGGCTCGAAAACGGATTTGCGGGCCGATTTTACATTTTTCACCATTTTGAAGAAAGTATTCAACCGATTTACTTGAAATTTCATATATAAGCTTTGCTCGATCATACGCAAAAATTCCTAACTTTTGGAAGAAATCAGGCATCAGCAACTGGGCGTTTACTACGGGCCAAATATACATTTTTGTGTATATAAAGAGAAATAATCAACCGATTTCATTGAAATTTAATATATGAATTCCCCGTATTAAAACAATGAACATGTAAATTTTTTGGAAAGATCAGGCAACGGCAACTAGACGTTTACTACGGGCCAAATATACACTTTTGTGTATATAAAGAGAAATAATCAACCGATTTCATTGAAATTTAATATATGGATTCCTCATATTAAAGCAATGAACATATAACTTTTTTGGAAAGATCAGGGGTCGAGAACTGATTTGCGGGCCGATTTTACATTTTTCACCATATCCACAGAACAAATTGATGGAATTTCTTGAAATTTGATATTTGAGTTCTGGTTGTTACCGAAACTAACTGGCGAGCATTTCAGGGAATTCGGGTAGCACAAAGCGAAACTCTACTAAGAGCCAAATTTACATTTTTCTAAGTATGTTAACTATAAGATTACTAATGTCCTAAAAATTGGAAAGAAGTATTTAACAGACATTTTTATAATATTCTGTAACACTTTCATTTAACTAAATAATACACAATGCGGTCGGTTATGTGCTGACCACATCAGATTTTTTTTTCATATCTTTAATTTCCTACTCAAAATTAATTTAAAAATTAACTAAAGTTTGTTTGTTTTTTTTTTTGCTTTTAGATTAAATTTATATAGATATAAAAATAACAATTATTGGAAATGCGTAAGGACATTAAATATTTCCTAGAATTTAAGAAAGCTTAACAACATGTTAAATTATCGTCTATAATTATTTTTAATACTGCGAATTTTAATTATTATATTGATATTTATGTAAGTTTTTATGTACTTATACATGGCATTAATCTTAAGGTAAAGATGGAATAAATTAAAAATTCAATGATAATTAATTACATAATGTTCGAATTATAGCATACGTAGACGTATACAGAGCACGCGTCAATGGTAATTAGAAAAAATACAACATACTTAGTAAAATTTATAAAAAAGCATATTGTGTTGAAGAAAGCTCGATTTTGTAATTTTGTGTGTGGTTCAATTTGTGTCTTTTTGTGATGAGGCAGAATTAAATTAAAAATTTTTCAAGTCTTAGCAATTTTTGAGATTAAAAATTTAAAAATTTTATTAAAAATAATTTTGTTAGCAAAGTAATAATACTTGTAGGACCACACGAATATTAATGATTTTAATAAAATTGTCGAATTTTTTCAAAATATTTTGATGTTTTGAAAATTGAAAAATTTTAATTAATTAATAGAATTAAAAGTTCTAACTACTTTCAAGTCTTAAAGTTTACGTACCTCAATTAGAATTTTTTGTATTTCTTTGTTGTTTCCCATTTAATGTTTTACAATAAAAGTTAATTCTTAAAAATTGTTCAAAATAAAAATTTCTTCTTTAAACCATAATGTACAACAAAAAAAAAAATTTTCTGTGTTTGAGTTATTTAGTGATTCGTGTAACCATACAAGGTATGTAACAGCACTAGCACAAAATTGGTCTAGTGTAATGATTGTTGAGTGATCGACGGAAAACTTCAATATATAAAATTATTTTATTTAAGTATATTCAATAAAAGAAAGAGTAGAATTATTTTTCTTAAATTCACTAACAGACACACACATATACATTTAAAATACTAAATTTTTAATAAATTCGTTACAGCGTCGTGAGCATGTATGTACTTTTTTAATTGAATTGTTTTATGTATAGAGTATAGAGCGGCGCATGATACTTTAAAACTTGCTTTAGGGTTTGTTTTAATAATCAGTTCTTTAACTGGAAAAGAATATTATATTGACAGACATTTTAATTATATAAAAAAGTTTCTTTTTTATTGAAATATAATTTTTCACTTTGGTACAAAGAAAAATTGTTTTTTTTTTTGTTGTTGTTGTTGTCTTTGAAGGAAAAATAAGAAAATTTTTATTATTTTCCTGCAATTTGTATTATTCAATTTTAAAAAAATAAATACATTTATTATTTATGTGCATGTATGTGAGATATCTAAGCATTTTATATAGACATATTAAATGTGTAAGTATTTATATTTATAATAATATTTGAGTATATAAACAGGGTGAACAAGACTCAATTACACTCCTGAAGTAGAAAACGAATTAAGACAATGCTCTTTCTTAAAGGGTTCATTTTGAAATATAACTCAGGGAATATAGTCGACATGGTAGTAAACCGGTAAAGCTCATTGAATTTTCATTTTAACCACGTATCGTTGAGATTAAAAACGAAATTAATTATTTTTTCATTAATTAGTTTTGTGTTCACAAAATATTCAAAAACAAAGTCAAAGACGTAGAAAATTTCCTTTTACATGCACATTTGTTTAACACGATCTGGTGAATCAATTTAACCGAATTGTTGTCTTTAAAATGACTACTACACTTAAAAGTTGCTTTTCTGATTTTTTTTTTCTGCATTAATAACGTTTTTAATTTAGTTTTTTTTTTGTTTTTATGTGACCATTATGCTTATCTTGCATGAGAAAAACTATTGATTTTCAAACACCCTGTATTATATAGCGAAAAGTTTTTTTTTTTATAAATAACTATACACACATACACAGTATTTGTATTTTGTCTAAAATCTGTGAGGGAAGTAATGTTTTTCATAAAATTTTCATAACTTTAACGAAATTTGTTTGAAATAAAACACCTTTTCAAAATATAAAATGAAAATAATAGAAGACACAAGAAACAACAAACAAGAAGAAAAATAAGAAAAAAACAAAATAAAACGAAAACAAAAAATAGGAGAAGCAACGAGAAAACACAATTTTTTTTATTCTATTTGAAAGGTCCTTGAAGCTGTTGTATTGTAAATTTTCACTAAAAAATTATATTTATATCAATAATTTAAAGGACATAAAAAAATAAAAATAGAATAACAAAAAAAAAAGAAAATAACAAAAAAAAAGTGAACTTCAGTACTTATCTTTAGCGTTACGAGAAAGGAACTGAAAATATAAAAAGCAAAAAAAAAAACAAAAGAAAATTTGTTTCTGTCCTTTTTTTTGTTCTTCAAACGGTAAAGTTTTTTTTCTTTTGTTTTCTCATTTCATCTTTTTATGGCTTTTCCGCTGTGCGGTATCTTAACATTTTGTACTTGCTTTTCTTTTTTTTTTTCTTGTTTTCGCTTATGAGCATGTTAGTCCAGTTATTATAAGATGACCTTGACTGTTAGCTGTTTATTTTTTTTAATATTCTTCCTTGTTTCTATTTGTATTTTAATAAAAAAAAAAAAATCAAAAATAAACCAGTGACAACTTTTAGCGAAAATTAAAGAATTTTTTTTTTCATTTCTTTTAAATACGACAAATTTTCATTTCTTTATTTGTATTTTTGGTTCTGTTTCCTTTTTTTTTCCAAGTGCCAAAATGCAAATAATAGAAGCAAAATAATAATTTGTATACGTTGTCAAATATTAAAAAAGAAACCAAGGAAAAAAGCAGAATAAGCAGAGCAAATACATTTTTTTTTTATTTTTTTTTTACCAAAAAGACACATTTTGTGTTTACGTATACAAACAGTTATTGTGTAAAATTTTTAATATTATATACAAATTTTTTAATAACTTTTGTTCTTGCCTTTGTCAATAAGTTGCAAAATATTACATTTTTTGTTTTTCAACCAACACAAAAAAAAAAGAGAAAAAGAAAAATCACCATCAAATGTTCAGTACCTAAAGAAATGTGAATGAAAAATTATTTTTGCTAAATTTTGTATATTAAAGTTGATTTCGAACCGTGAATGCTTTTAAAATTAAATTTATAAAAACTAAATCTTATTCCATCAGTATTGAGAATTTTTGAATTTTGAAGAATTGAATTTCTTATGGTACATGGATAAGTTTGATACAAACAAATAATTTTTCCAATTACTTTACCATAATTTTACAAAATTGTAAAAGGATGAAAAATTTATCGGGTTGCATGTTAGAAGCTCTAATATTTTACAAATTATTCGCTTTCATAGCGTAGGAACTGTACAAAATTAGAAATATTTTTAAGATTTTAAATCAATTATTCCTAAATAATTTAAGGGTATAAAAAATCTTGAAAAGTTGAGATTTTGTTTCAAAATGTGAGCAGCTTTTGTTACCAGTCTTTGTATTTGGTACTGGCAATAGAGCCACATTTTGATCGTAATTTTATATAATTATACTTTCGATAAAGTGAAACTGCCTCCGTACTTTCCTAATGATGTTCAGTTTATAATAATAATTTTTTTAATAAATTACGAAAAAAACCAGTTATTTAATGCGTTTTTTATATTTTGCAGGTAAGGATTCAATTTTAAATTTTGAACTCTATGCTGGTAAGCTTTAAAATATATTAATTTATATAACACAGTTGATTAAACAATAAATAACTTTTTATATAATAAGCGCTCTTATTCCAACATTGGATAATTTGAGGTTGTTTCGCTTATTCAACTGGCCAGGCTCATTAATAGATTGAGCAGATGAATACAACTTCTTAACAACTTGACAAAATTTACCAATATCGAATACATATTTTATCGTTATAAACCTTTTGAACGACATAAAAGCAAAATGAAAATCAACTCAATTTTAAAATCATTCGAAAATCAAATTTTAAAACAAATAATAAATTATAATTCAAAATTAAAATATGCTGAAACTACTACGTTAATACTCCCGTATTACTTAAGAATATTGAATTTATTAGTCTTAAACAGAATCGAGCAGGGAGTTTGTAAATAACTTTTACACGTACCATAAAATTTCTAATTATACGTTAAAATACTTGAGTTTGTTGACATAACAAAGTCTGAAAGAGCTCATAATTAAATCATGTTTAGTAACTCTTCCACTTGGTGGTAACTCTTGCTTTTGTGTAGGTTTTTTGAAAATTAACGAGATTTTTTTATGTACCACGTAATATCAAATAACATAGATTTGTGTGAAATTTATTGTCTTATTAACTACAGTATCATTTAAATTTATGTCATATATATTTTCTCTCTATAGTAAGGAAGTTGAGGTCAAACTGACAACAATTATGTTAATTAATAGCTTTGTAGGATTTAATTAAAAGATAATAATTTCGTAATTGCTTTCCTCTTTTTTTTTTCTTTCTAATTTCTATCAAAATTTTTTTTTCCTTAACAATTTTTTGTTTTTTTTTTTACATCTTTATCGTAATCGTGGCCATATCTTAATCATTTTGTGTAATGTATTTGACATTGACATTCTTTGTATTTTCTCCTCTTTATTAAAATGTCATATTCAAAAATAAGTAATAGAAGAGAAGCAATAATAGAATATAATAGGAGAGAGAGAAAAAAAATTAAAGATATGAGATAACTTAACTGTTATTAAATAAAAACAACAGATGGCGTTCATAGGTGAATTACGTTAAAATTAAAATAAAATGGTGAATATTTGTGTACACTGTTGTTTTTCTTGAAATAAAAGAAAAAACAAACATAAATAATAGATGAAAAATTTAGACAGGATGAAGGAAAACTCAAATTTAGTAATGTTATATAACATAAACGTAAAATGTCATAAATTATATTTATACCTAAATCGTTTTTAGAATTTTTTGCATAAACATTATGTACTTAAATTTTATAATAGGCAGATTGGTTTTAGTTAGATGTTAATCAATAATGTACGATTTAAATTCACAAAAAAATTTTGATTAGTAATAAGAATCCAAGTTAAAAAATTCAATCTATTCCATTGAATTGTTTTGAAAATTGTGTACTTATTATTTTAGGAATGAAACTTTAATTATTATTTTATGTTAAAAAAAAGTCAGAAATAAATCTTTAAGGGCAGTCTGCATTAGTCTTCAAATAAAATATCTTTGTAGTACTTAAATCACAACAACAATGAAATTTATATTTTGTTTAAATAGAAAATGGTGAATTTCGGATGAAAATCCTTAAAATTGGTTTGACTAATTAACAATTTTCTCAATTTACTTTTTCATTTTATTGCTCCTTTGTTTTATAGCTCTTTTAACCGTATTTACTTTTTAACTTACTTTTTCTAAATAAACAAAGAAAAAATTTTAATATGAGTTTGAATTTAATGTTCCCGTTTTTTTTTGAAGTACAAAAAAGTATATGAGAAAACAATATAAAACAGAAGAAAGAAGTTAATAAAAATAAAATATGCGAAAAGTAATGACAAATATCCTTTATATGCATATCGTAGCCATATTGTATAATTTATATATATGTTTGTAACATACTATGGAATATTAAAGACTAGAGCGTGAACACATTGTATGTTCATATAAGAAGTAAAAAACAAAAAAAAATGAGAAAATTGAAATTGTTCAGCCTTTGTCAGCATAATACGTAAAAGGTTATTATATTAGATATTTGCTTTGTGCGTATATGCACATTAAAAAATTAAAAAAAATATAAAACAATTTTTTTTTACTGTTGAAACAGAGATTGTTTTCAAAGATTTAGAAGTTGAGTTTTAATAAAATGTTTTTTGTAATATTCATGTAGGTGTTAAGTTTATTTTTTATATTTTTCTTTTATTTAAAAAATATAAAACAGCTATTTAAAGAAAATTTAAGAATTAAATTAACTTTTTCTATTTAAAATTTTTATAATTTAAGTAATTTCTGTTTTAAATTAAATTAACTTGTATGTTAACCGTTTTTTATAAGTCTCCATTCTGTATTTAATTCTTTTATTCATCTGGTGAGAATAAAGTGAGTGCAATGCAATTTTCATATAGAAGAAGAATTTTATAACGATGCCTTTTCAAAGGCTTTTGTTAATTGTTTTGAAATATTTATACATATACGTTCACGATGTATATTGAATAATGCAATGGAAGTAGGTAATGTAATTTCCCTGAACAAGGGAAAATATTTTTTTTTAATTAAGTTGGAAGCTTTGTAAAACATCACTTCTCCCTTGAACAAGTGAACACATCTCTATTTCCTTAAAACAAGAACCGTCTATTTAAATTATTTCATTAATAACTCTACCAAAATATGATTATAAAAATTGCATACTTTACGGGGAGTCAGAAAAAATCAGGAAAAAATGTTAACGCAATGATCCAGCAGAATGCGTAATTGCTTGAATTAAGTCAAAAAATATTTTTAAGGGTTATAACTTCTAAATAGGGCGGTAAAAATTTTCTTTTAAGAAAGTAAGTTTTTAGTAAAAATCTATTTGTACAGAAAATTTCAGCTTTATATTTTAAAGGGCGTAGAAGATATATTATAGTAAGACATACGGACAGAGTGAAACTTATAAGTAATTTTTTGCAATATTTTGGAAAAGTGGTAAAAAACAATCATTGTTGTTAAAGTTTATAAGCTATAAAAACTTCCATTTCTGCAGCTTACACGTTTAACAAAAGATTAATGTTTTCATGTTATAAAATTTGTAATATTAGTGCAAGAATTTCTTTAATTCAATAGGATTTAAAATTCACGTATCTGAATGGATTTTAATCTTCGTAATCTGAAGGGATCTGAAATGGATTTTAAGGAAAAATGAAAATCATTTATCTGAAAGTTTAGAATTATTTTTTCAAATTTCGTTACATAATATGTTTTAATAATTACCTCTTCCAATACAGAAGGCGATAAATTTTTAATATGTTCATAAGTACATACATATATAATTATTATGTACAACATATGTGCTGATCTATCCTATGTACATAAACATGATTAATAAATTTTCAGATATTAAAAAAACTCTCGTACTTATTTAAAAATTCATTAAAACATATTAATTAATTTATTTAAATTAGTTTAAATAAGTAGTGTATTAAATCTAAATGAATGTTATCGCAGTATTAGTTGTTGTAAAAATTGTTCATTATGATAATGTGACATACATTAGTTAATAATATAGCTAAAAGCTAAAAGGTTAGATAGATAAGCATTTTTAATATCTTTCGAGAATAAATAAAATTCACTGAAATAATTTACTGGAACAAAATTTTTATGGTAATGAATTTTTGTTATGCACATATTACAGAGTAAATTTCAAATTATTTGGAATAAAAGCTTGTATTAAAAACATGAACAAAAAAATTTTTCAATTGAAATGCATTCATAAAATAAAAAAATCTGATGTGGTCAGCACATAACCGACCGCATTGTGCATTGTCTAGCTAAGTGAAAGTGTTACAGAATATTATAAAAATGCCCGTTAATTACATCTTTCCAATTTTTAGGACATTAGTAAGCTTATAGTTAACATATCTAGAAAAATAATTTGGCTCTTAATAGAGTTTCACTTTGTGCCACCCGAATTCCCTGAAATGCTCGTCAGTTAGTTTGGGTAACAACCAGAACTCAAATATCAAATTTTAAGAAATTCTATCAATTAGTTCCGTTGATATGGTGAAAAATGTAAAATCGGCCCGCAGATCAATTTTCGAGCCCTGATCTTTCCAAAAAATTTATATGTTCATTGTTTTAATACGAGGAATTCATATATTAAATTCCAATGACATCGGTTGATTATTTCTCTTTATATACGCAACAATGTATATTTGGCCCGTAGTAAACGTCTAGTTGCTGACGCCTGATTTCTTCCAAAAGTTAGGAAGTTTTGGGGCCGGTCGAGCGAACCTTATATATGAAATTTCAAGCAAATCGGTTGAATATTTTCTTCAAAATGGTGAAAAATGTAAAATCGGCCCGCAAATCAGTTTTCGAGCCCTGATATTTCCAAAAAATTAATATGTTCATTGTTTTAATACGAGGAATTCATATATTAAATTTCAATGAAATCGGTTGAATAGTTTCTTCAAAATGTTCAAAAATGTAAAACAGGCCCGCTAAAAAGTGCAGTTCCCGAGGCCTGATATATCCCAAAAGTTGATCAATCCGTGCCATGGTGGAAATAAACTTACATATAAAATTTCATAAAAATCGGTTCAGCCGAACCTCAGATACACGCGTGCACACACAGACCGACAGACCGACAGACGGACAGACCGACAGACCGACAGGTTGCTAAAAATAGTTTATTTACACTTCCCTACTATGGAGAAGTACGTTCCCACGGAAAACTCGATATGCAAAATTTGTTGCCATCACATAACCTACCTATTGTATACACAATACGGTCGGTAAAAAAATTTAAAGTGTAAATAATGTGCATAAGGAAAATATTATTTTTTTTTCTAAATACTCGTAAATATGAGATAATTTTCATATCGTGTAATTTGTTCTAAAAAAATAAAATAAAATGATGTCGAATCCCAAGCGTATTTTTTACATAACTAGAGCATGTTATGTTTTTAATTTTTTATTTATAAACATAAAATTGCTTTATAATTTTATAGGTTACTTTCATAATAACAATATAAATATTATTTTATATGTGTATGTAATATAATAATATGTTTTTACTTTCCCTTGTTTATACGGAGTTCTCTATACACATATTCTATTCTATTTTGAGGTAAAATTATGTTTGAAATATCAAAATTTTCTGTAATGAAAATAGAAGAATGTGAATACTTTTTTTAAAATATAAATTTTATTTCACAAGTGTAGATGGAGGCCGATTTTGAATAGTTATTCGAACAATATATACTATAAACTACAGTTACTTTCCTTAGTGTTTTCCCCTATAAAATTGGGTTCTTAAAAAAAGCAGCAAATAATTTGTATAAATTAAGTGAATATTATAAGCTTTCAAATAATTCGTATAAAACTCATTTCACTTAAATTAAATTCTAGAAGAAAAGATAGTGAAAAAAATTTGATTAAAACACAAGTTGAACAATTTTACCTCAGATATACTGCATTGCTGTTCAATCGCAATTTCTTGGAACTAAAAATATACAACAAATAATACAAAATTCAGAAACAGTAAAAAACGAGAAAAAAAGTAGAGTTGACCTTGTCAACTCTGTGATACCCGTACGAATTTGTTATTCTATGTGCGAATAACTAATGTGCCATAACTAACTATGGGGCAGACTATGACTTTAAGTTTCCGTATTACCATATAAATTTATGCAAAATTTCAATACTATGTTTTTTTCAAAATACTGGCTGTGCCAAACTACTATTGAAGTTGTATGGCAGCTACCAGAAAGAGCCAAGAAATTTTAGCGAATTTTATCAAGCACGTTGGCCCTACTAATATTATATCCACTTGTGTGAAATCTCAATATCACAGCTTTTATAGTTTCTGAGATATAGCCAAATAAGTTTTGAAGTTGTGTGGCAGGTACCAGAAGGAGCCAAGTAATTTCAACGACTTTTATGAGACACATTGGCCCTATTAATATATTCGTTTGTGTGAAATTTCAATACCATAACTTTTATAGTTTCTGAGATATAGCCAAATAACTTTTGAAGTTGTATGGCAGGTACCAGAAGGAGCCAAGTAATTTCAACGACTTTTATGAGACATATTGGCCCTATTAATATATTCGTTTGTGTGAAATTTCAATACCACAACTTTTATAGTTTCTGAAATATAGTCAAATAACTTTTGAAGTTGTATGGCAGGTACCAGAAGGAGCCAAGTCATTTCAACGACTTTTATGAGACACATTGGCCCTATTAACATATTCGTTTGTGTGAAATTTCAATATCACAACTTTTATAGTTTCTGAGATATAGCCAAATAAATTTTGAAGT